CTTTTTCTCTTTTTCTTGAGGTAGCGGATTACCAGCAAATTGGTGAGACAGTGAAGAATCACAGAAATACGGATAATGAGGTGACCAAGGAGGATAGTAATAATGAGACGGCTGAGGACTGTGAAACATGCTTACTGTACAATTATAGTAATTGCCTCCCGTTGCATTTGCCTTTTTTAAGTATCATAGTATAGTGTAATTATACCAGGAGTGATCACACAAAGTTTTTATCATTTTGTTTGGATTTACAATAGCTTTTGTATCCTAGAATTTGTTCGTTAATTTTGTAGTATAATTTAAAGTACAACCAGTGACTGATGAGACAGAGTGCTTATCATTTGAAATTTTTGAAATTAATGTTTCATGTACTACTGACTTTCTATTATTTTTTCTTCTCTCATATAGTTTATCCAACAGTGACTGATCAGACCTAGTTCTTATCATTTGAGTTTGTTTCAAAAAGGATGTTTTATGTCCTACTCACATTTGACTCTGCTCTGTATTAGTTTCATAGTGTAGTTTAAAATGCCAGGAGTGAGTTATATTATGTGGGGTGTTTCTGACATGTTTTATGTAGGACTGACTTCTTACTATATGTGACCAAAATTCACAAAAGGTACCTTATGGCGGATAGGAAAATTGGTATTAATAGCCTTAAAAATGCAACTTCTGAGCTCCATTCATCATGAAATTACTCCAGAGCACACAAAAACTTACAGTGTAACTTTTAGAAACAATGCTTGTCTAACAAAGCACTCACAGGTTGATATTTTTCATTATTATGATGAATTTTAAATTCTGCCGTAAGGTACCTTTCTTCAATTATGGTCACATATGTTTCTTTTTTTCTTAGTTATATAGAATACAGTAAAATGCTTTCTTTTGACAGCGCTTTTATTTTGGCGATTTTGCTGTAAAATTGTAAATGGTGGTTTTATTTTGGCGATTTTTGTGTGCACTGCATTACTGAGCATGCGCATTAATGATTGGCGGTTTTAATATTGGCGATTTTGCTTGCAAACCGCCAATCACCGAAATGAAACTCCACCAAATTAAAGCATTACATGGTAGTTTATACAAGAAGTGACTCATTGCACATAGTTTTTATTCTTTTTGTTACGTTTTTAAGAAGTATTCTGCATGTAATACTTATTTTTCAGTTTTTATTTTTCTTTCGCAATTTAATAGTATAGTTAAAAAATACCAGAAGTGACTAACCAGAATGAGTACTTATCATTTGAGGTAGATTTAGCTATATTCATTGTTCTCCCTATTATGTGTCATTTGAAATACTAGAGCTGACAGATCAAATTGAGTTCAGATTATTTGAAATTGGTTTTTAAATGTCTCATACTACTGACTTCCTACTTTTTTCTTAGTTGAATTTCATAGTAAAGTTTTGCCAACATTGACTGGTCACATACAGTTTTTATCATTTTAAGTTTGGCTTTAAAATGTTTGTTGTACTAATTGTCTAGTATTAATTTTTTTTCTCATTTTCATAGTTTATTTATCACAGGAGAAAGTGGTCAGACTTGGTTTATATCATTAATTACGTTTGGCTTTAAAATGTTTTTTGATGTCCTCACTTTTGACTATTTTGTTTCTTCTTTTCTCAGTTTTATAAAACAGTTTACCAGGAATGACTGATCAAATAAGTTTTATCATTTGAGGTTCGATTCTAAAATATTTTAGGTTCTATGTTCTTACAATTTGTTTCTTTTTTTTCAATTTATGGTATAGTTTATATTAACAGATTGACTTATTACACAGATTCGTTTACATTTTAACTTGCATTTACAGTGATATTTTAAGTGTTAATAATTCATTGCTTAGTATTTCTTTCTTTTTGTAGTGTTGTAGTTTATTTTAATGTACCAAAGGTGACAGAGTTCTTATTGTAATAATGGGTTCAATTCTTCTTCGTTCTCACTATTAGTTTTTTAGTTTTATACTATTGTTTAAAATACCAGAAATAACTGATTAGACTGACATTTTATCATTTAAGTTCCGTTTTAAAAATGTTTTTATTACATCTCACTATTTCTCCTAATTTAATTTTTATACTCTAGTTGAAATAACCAGAAGCGACAAGTCGATCAGACTCAGTCATTTGAGGTTGGATTCTGAAAAACGTTTTGTTTTTTGAAGTTCTCACTATTTGTCTCTTCTTTTCTCAATTTCATAGTATAGTTTAAAAATACCACAAGTGACTGACCATATGGAGTTCTCACTTCTTTTCTTATTTCACAGTAAAGTTTAAACCAGAAGTGACTGATCAGACCTTGAGTTTTTATCTTTTGAGCATAGATATTATTGACTACATAACCAGGATAGGAAACTAATCACATGATCCTATAGATATGAATTGAATTAAGTGTGGACACTGTTGTAACACTAATCTGTTGCAGAAAAGGTAGTACTAGGAGAGCTTCTCTGTCACTTTCTTCAAGAATAGAACGATATTTCCAGGCAGTAAATAGTTATACTCATTGTATACACACTATCGTATGTGCAGTAATTAATTCTTATACCAAATACTATAGCTGCTACACGGCTTAGCTTTAACACTGGCCTTGCATGCACGAAATGGTTCTCCCTCTCACACAAACTTGAAATTGATTGCACCTTTGCCATAGCTCAAAATATAAATTATATGTGCTTGAACTATTAAATTAAACTAACAAGCCCATAGTGCTAGTTGGTTGTACGTCCACTATACAAAGTACAAAATCAAATATAAAATAAAAGTAGTCGGTCATAAACAGATGGGAGAGACTTTGAGTGGCATCTCCAGGAGCATCAAAAGTGTCAGCAATGGGCAAGTGCATTCGCAATTTAAAATTTTAATACATTATTTGTACAGAAAAAGAAATTATCGACATTAATAAATGCTTCATAATATGTACAAAAGGACATTATTACTGTCCATCATGTACACAAGAAAAATTAAAGTATTGTGTACGTATGTGGTGTTTGAAAAAATAACAAAACCAAAAATGATTGCAACAGCACCAGTCAAATATTCCGTACTTTCGAAGAATCAAATCATTTAGAGAATGAAAAGTCTACAAGAAGCAGCGTGATCGTCTAAAACATAAAGTACACACTCTAGGGAGCACTATTACACTACATGAAAATGACCATCACGATTTCATACCAATAATTGCAAACAGGGAAAATATTTCAAAACCTCCTTTTCAAACATTTTGGGAGTAACAAGCTGAAGTTGCCAAAAAAACATCCCAAGAAATGAGATGGCAACCCTAATTGTAAGGTGTGCATCTTATTACTCCACCTTTTTTAAAAGGCATATGAAACTATGCACCATTGTGTTTCACAACTTTCGGTTTCTGAAATATTTTTTAAAGTTGTACTGCCTTCTCACTCTTTGTTTTTCCTTCTTTCAGTTTCATAGTATAGTATAATTATATCAGGAGTGATCAGACAATGTTTTTATCCTTTTTGTTTGTTTTTAAAATTGCTTTTATATCCTAGTATTTGTTCATTAAATTCATAATATAGTTTAAAATAATAGAAGTGAAATATCAGATTGGGTTTTAAACAATGTTTCATTTAGTATATACTCCTCACTGTTTCTTACTTGTTTAGTTTCATGGTATTGTTTAAAATTCCAGCAGTAACAGATCAGACTGACATTTTTATTTGAGGTTGGTTTTTTCAATGTTTTACTACATAATGTTTCTTTACTCATCTTAAAGTATGGTGTATACTAAGACTTACTGATCACACTGAGTTCCAATTTAGAGCTCTCACTTCTTTTTTTATTTGATAATCAAGTTTCGACCAGAAGTGACTGATCAGACCTTGAGTTCTTATTATTTGAGTTTGGTTTTAGAATAAAGTGTTATGTAGTACTCCTCACTACTTGCTTGTTTTGTGTTTAGTTTCATAGTCTAGGTTGAAATACCAACTGTGACTGATATTTACCTTTTTAAATTTAGGTTGGTTTTTCAATGTTATAATTACTCACAATTTGTTTTATACATTCTCAGTTCTATGTTGTATTGTATACTAGGAGTGACTGATGAGATTGAGCATTCGTTTGAGGTCGGATTATGAAATGATGTTTCATGTAGGGTTTTCTCTATTTGTTTCCTCTTTCCTCAGTATAAGTATAGTTGAACGTAGTACAGTTTTATCACTTGAAACTGGTTTTAAAATGTTTCATGTACTACTTCTCCCTATGTGTCTCTTCTTTTTACACTTTCATAGTATAGCTTTACCAGGAGTTACTTATCAGTTTGAGTGGTTACCTTTGAGTCAGGTTTTACTTGTCAGTTTTCGCTGTTTTTAGTTTCTTCATTTTCACAATAAAATGTTTTTAAACACCAAAAGTGACTGATCTATGGTGGCCCAATGATTCACCTGGCAAAGCATTGTCTAGCCGATCGGCCACAGATAGGTCCTTAGTGGTACTTGTCAGTCACCGAGCATGGGGTTAATGGTTGTTGGTGTGGCCGTGGGTGCTGTCTCTCATAAAATTGTCTTCCACACGAGCTTGTATGTCTGCATTGAAAGGTTTGGCGGGTGCCATAACTGCCATTACTTTTGTGGAGAACTCTAATTATTATTCATCACTGTTAATTAATTTTGCTCAGCATGCGTAGTTAAATGTTGATAGAAGAGATTTTTGTGAAAGAGAAGAAGAGGGACATATCGGGAGGGGATCCAGTATAATCCTGACTAATGGGAAGATAGATTTGAGTCATGTACTGAATACATGTTCAAACGAGCCGGATCTGGGAGTGCATTGAACTGGATCTTCCCGTCAGCCTTTAGCTTCACGCCCGAAAGTCACTGTCGAGTTGGGACCGTGGCCTATCTTTTTCTCTTAGCCCCTTAAAGTATTGTCGAAGGGGTACACGTGAGTCTGTGATATTTAAAGTACCGTAGCCACTACTATACTATTGTCTCATAATAGTAATTTTCATTGATTGTTTTTTTTTAATAACAAAAAATTAATTTGACACGTGGGTATGGCTACCAGAAAACGAGGTGCTCATAGAGGTATAGTCACACGAAGGATTGTGGAGCTTGATGGCATGTTTTCAAAGGATGACGATGGAATGGAGGCACTTGATTTGGCTAAGCTCAGGCAAATGAAATTGGTTCTTCAAGAGAAGATGGAAACTATAGGGAAGCTTAATAATGCTATATTAGATGAGCTACATGATGAAGAAGCAATGGAGCAAGATATAAAGGAGGCCGACGAGTTTAAGCTGAAAATCCAACAGACTGTTGATAGAATTGATGGTGTACTCGCTCCATCTTCAAGGGGGTCGTCTATTTCTTCGAGTCACACACCATCTGGAACTAGAGGTATGTCTCTCCGCCCTAATCTACCAGAACTTACTATAAAGAAGTTTGATGGAAACATTACAACTTGGAAGGGCTTCTGGGATACATACGAGTCGGCAGTACATAATAATCAGGAGCTGTCAGACATTAACAAGTCCACTTACCTTCGTTCATTAGTTGGACATTCTGCTAAGGATGCTATAGAAGGATTGGCTCTCACTTCAGATAATTATGAAGAAGCGGTAGCTATCCTACAGAAACGCTTTGGAAATGACAAGCTTATTATCTCCAAGCATATGGAGACCTTACTAGGAGTAGGGTCAGTGAGTACAGCTGATGATGTTGCTGGACTCCGGAGAATGTATGATAAAATTGAGTCACAAATCCGTGGTTTGAGATCATTGGGAGTGACTTCAAGCTCATATGGAGCCTTGCATACTCCAGTTCTGCAGAATAAGTTGCCACCAGAGCTAAGGCTCATAGTCAACAGAGAGTTAACAGAGAGCTGGGACTTAGATAAATTCATGGAGACTCTGGCCTTGGAGCTAGAGGTAAGAGAGAGATCTGTTGCAAGCAGCAAGAATGACAGTGGAAATAAAGTTCCCAAGAAGGGCCAACACATATCTGCCACAATTATGGCTACCAATCAGTTCAGTTGTGTTTATTGTAGCCATCAAGGTCATGCTTCAGAACATTGTCACTTGGTTCAAGAAGTAGAAGCTAGACGACAAATTTTAAAGAGCTCAGGCAGGTGCTTCCTTTGCCTAAAGAAGGGTCATATGAGCGGAGGTGTCAGTCCAGTGACAAATGCAACCATTGCAAAGGGACACAGCACGTAAGCTTGTGTTACAAGAAGACCACAGGAGCTAATGAGGGTACTACTGAAGAAAAGCCCAAGTCTCACACTTCTGCTAAACCGGCCGTCAATCCTCAAGCACCTTCATTTGAAAACACCCATACTTACGCTACATTGTCTATTAATAGAGAAGTATTACTGCAGACAGCACGAGCAGTAATATTTAATCCATTGAATCCTAGTAGACAAATAGTAGCTCAATTTATCTTTGATAATGGGAGTCATCTATCTTATATAACAGAGAAAGCTAGTAAGAGTTTAGGATTGACATCAGAGGGTAAGAAAGACATGCTTATTATGACCTTTGGCTCATCAGAGGCTAAACCAGAGAGATGTCACAGTGTTTGTGTTGGTGTTAGATTTAGAAATGGGGGTAGCTGTGAAATTTCTGTGCTTACAGTCCCTTTGATTACTGACAACCTGGCTGTTGCACCAATACAATTCTGTATGAGAAGCTACTCCCACTTGAATAGCCTTGATATAGCAGACATGGCTCAGGATGTAGGGTCTGACACAATAGAAGTGTTAATAGGGTCAGACTATTATTCGCAATTAGTGTCTGGTAGAGTTATTAGAGGAGATGATGGCCCTGTAGCTTTACATACTCAGCTGGGATGGGTGTTGACTGGTCCTACTTCATTTGTAGATGGAACAAGTACAACTAGTCTGGTTGCCCTTTCATTGAAGCCCTCTAGTAGTCACCCCAAGGAGCTTGAAAAGCAATTGAAGTCCTTTTGGGAATTAGAGGCTCTAGGGATCTTAGATAAAGAGAGTTCACTTTACGAGCAATTTAAGCACAATATTAAGTTTGTCGATGGTAGATATGAAGTACCACTTCCTTGGAGAAGTACCTTACTGGATATCTCCCTTAATTACCAATTAAGTTTGAAGAGGCTCAGTAGCTTGTTGTGGAAGTTGAGGAAGGATCCACAACTATTGAAAGAGTATAACAATATTATGCAAGAGCAACGGAGCATGGAATTATAGAGATGGTAAGTGGGGAAGAGCTTTTAAGTGGTGAGAGGATTCATTATCTTCCTCATCACGCTGTTTTTTGTAGTGATAAACATACCGCAAAGCTTCGAATAGTGTATGACGCTTCAGCAAAGTCTGAAGGGTCCTTTCTAAACGAATGCTTACATGTTGGTCCTAAGTTTAATCAAATAATTTTGGAAATACTGCTCAGGTTTAGAGCTAATAGAATTGCCCTAGTGGCGGATATTGAGAAGGCCTTTCTCATGGTCTCAGTTATGCCAAGGGATAGGGATGTCCTACGCTTTCTTTGGGTTCAGAATATTCAAAGTGAAAGCCCTGACATCTGTGTTTACAGATTTAAGAGAGTGGTGTTTGGAGTGGCCTGGAATCCATTTTTTTTAAATGCGACAGTTAGGCATCATATGGAGAGTAGTGCAGAATCCTTTCCTTATTCTGTACACAAATTACAAAAGATGCATGTATGTGGATGTTATGGTAAGTGGTGCAGCCACTGAAGAGGAAGCCTATCAACTGTATGTAGAATCTAAAGATATGTTAAGTAGAGGTGGTTTCAACCTACGCAAGTTTTTAACCAACAGTTTTCACTTACAAGAGAAAATAAATGCAAGAAAGAGCTGTACTAGCTCATTGGATTGTAAGGTGGTGGGTGTGCAGTGGGATGTTAGTAGAGATCTTTTGATATTTGATGTAACGACAGTTATTGAGCAACTCAATGTAATCTCACCAGCCAAAAGAGCAGTTGTTGGTGCAGTAAGTCGATTTTATGACCCACTTGGCTTACTCTCCCCAGTTATTATTGTTTTTAAGATGTTCTTACAGGAGCTAACTAAGTCAGAGATGCATTGGGATGAGCCATTGATGGCCCCTTGCTAGACAAGTGGAAGTCACTTATTGATAGTTTGCAAGGGAGCCCACCTTTAGCTATTTCCCGCTTTTATTTTCATGGTTTGAGCAATCCTGGCTCATGTTATCTCTGTGATTTCTGTGATGCATCTACAACTGCTTATGCAGCTGTCATATATCTGGTCATTTTATTGGGGAACACAAGGCAGGTACGGTTTGTTACTTCCAAGACTAGAGTTGCCCCTACTGATACTCAAACCATACCTCGACTTGAATTGATTGGAGCCTTGTTGCTGTCTCGACTAGTTAAAACAGTATCACAGAGTTTGAAGGAAGAATTACCGTTACAAGAGACGATCTGTTATACAGATTCCAAAATAGCACTCTTCTGGATCTATGGACTAGACCGTGACTGGAAACCCTTTGTCCAGAATCGGACAGAAGAGATCAGGAGATTAGTTCCTCCTTCTCAATGGAAACACTGCCCTGGCAAGGGGAATCCAGCCGACCTCCCATCTAGAGGGAGCACTATATCAGAATTAAGAATTAATTCAACATGGTTTGAAGGACCTAGTTGGTTTATGGACTCTGACACTGTCGTTGAAGATGTATCTGAAATGCCAGATGAGTGTGCTCTCGAGTTAAGAGCATGTGAACGTAGACGAGTACTAGGTCTTTTGACCACAGAAAGAATAAGTGTTTCTCAAATAATGTTACCAGAGAAATATAGTAGTTTAAATCGACTACTTAGAGTTACAGTTAATGTTTTAAAGTTTACTTATTTGATCAGATCAATGACAATAGATTATCAGAAATTGAGAACCGAGGCAGAGATCCTGTGGTTAAGAGATTGTCAAAGTACAATGATATATGATTCCAACTTTGAGGCCTTGAAAAGGCAGTTGGGTTTATTTGTTGATGACAATGGTTTATGGAGATGTGGCGGGAGATTGTCAAATGCTGGCTTGACATATGCAGCCAAGCATCCTATATTATTGAATAAGAAGTGTCCCTTGACAGCTCTAATTGTGAGGTGCTCTCATGAGAGAATGCTCCACAATGGAGTCAAGGAGACACTAGGAGAGGTACGCTCTAGATATTGGATTCTCCAAGGGAGATCCTTTGTCAGGAAACTATTGTTTCATTGTACTATATGTAGGAGATATGGAGCGTTACCCTATTCTGCACCACCTCCTCCCCCTCTCCCGCCATTCAGGGTTCAAGAGGAACCACCCTTCACCTTTGCGGGGGTTGACTTTGCTGGACCACTTTATGTGAAACCCAATACCCCCTGCAAAACTGAAGATAAAATCTATATTTGTTTATTTACATGTTGTGTAGTACGTGCTGTACATTTAGAGGTTGTGGTTAATTTGTCTGTATCTTCTTTCATTAGGTGTCTAAAACGCTTTATAGCCAGGAGAGGTCTCCCAAGAAGAATAGTTTCCGACAATGGAAAGACATTTAAGGGATCTGCGAAGTTTATTGGAAGAGTTATGGGTCATTCTGAAGTCATCGATTATTTGTCAGGAAAGGGAGTGGAGTGGCAGTTTAATGTTGAAAGAGCCCCTTGGTGGGGAGGTATGCTTGAAAGAATGGTTGGCTCCACCAAGAAATGTCTTCGAAAGATGATTGGACAAGCTAGACTTACCTTTGATGAGATGAACACTGCAATCATAGAGGTTGAAACGATACTCAACTCCCGACCCATCTCCTATGTTTCAACAGAAGATCAGGAAGAACTGCTAACTCCCTCTCATCTCATGGTTAGACGTCGTTTGCTCAACCTACCTGATAACCTCTGCTACAACTACATAGATCAAGATTACAGTCCTCAGATCACTCAAGAGATGATAACTCGTCGAATGAGACATTTAAGCTCTATGCTAGATCAGTTTTGGAAAGGATGGACCACAGAGTATTTACTGGGCCTTCGACAGAGCCACAGTTATAGTAACAAGAGAAGACATAGCTCTGTGGAGATAGCAGAAGTAGATATAGTAATTGTGCATAAGGAGAAGAAACCCAGGGGCTTCTGGTCAATAGGAAGGGTTGAAGAAGTTCTTCCTGGACAAGATGATCAAGTGAGAAGTGCAGTCGTTAGAGTGTTCACTGGAGGAAAGAAATCCAAGACAACTCGTCGCCCAGTACAACAACTGTATCCCATCGAAATTAGCAGACAAACAAGTACAGCTACAGAAGATGACTCTCCCACTCAGACAGCAACTCCCACTACTCAATCAGAAGATAATGTCTCTGAGCATCGAAATCTACTAGATGACCAGCATTAGAAGCTCGAGACAGAATTGTTGCTCAATCGTTAGTTGGTAAAGATTAAACGTTTAATTAACTAGAGACATGCATGCATTAATTCTACATTGGAATTACATTACTTTATTAATTTGTAAGAGAGTGTTGACTAATAATATAGTCAACAGGTGGGGAGTGTGTGGAGAACTCTAATTATTATTCATCACTGTTAATTAATTTTGCTGAGCATGCGTAGTTAAATGTTGATAGAAGAGATTTTTGTGAAAGAGAAGAAGAGGGACATATCGGGAGGGGATCCAGTATAATCCTGACTAATAGGAAGTCTGGGAAGATAGATTTGAGTCATATACTGAATAACTTTAGACCAATCATTTGATAAATGAATTCTATTCATTAAATCATTATGTGCGATTCTAATGAAACAGAAAGTCAAATTTCGAATGTACTGGAGGTCTGTATGAAGCTAGCTACTTATTACTCACTTTGCTCTAATAATAAAGCCTTTTATGGCTGAAGAAGTACTACAAAATACTTGGCTTGAAACGCAGAGGTTTTGACTTTCAGGTTGACAATGTTGTTTCTATCATTTCAGTTTGTTGTCAGTCTGCATGGGTATAGGTCATCTCTCCGGAGTATGCTACATTTATCGAATCAGCTTAGATGTTGTCAATCAGCTTGGAAGATTTCTTGAGAGCATTACAGAATTTTTGATTCCAGTTTTACATAATCATTCAATTGTTAGAACACTACAAATATGTTGTTCAGGAAGCAGTTTAGTTATTAGATCCAGAAGGAATAGAGGACAAAGGAAGCTCAAAAGGAAAAATTATGAAAGTATTTGCATTGCTAATTTTTTATGTATTAATAATTCCGGGGGCCGAACTACATATGGCAAATAGATATCTATAAAAAGCTATTACAGTTTGGTTTGACAATTCATGGCTGCATTGATGGGTCATGTCCAGAAATTTGTTAATAATTGCGGTCATGTAGCGTTAATTATATTCATTGTTCTTTAATTATATTCATTGTCAATAATTACCGTTGCCATGGAAACGCAATAACAACATGGCTGCTAATAATGTCTCTCTCTTTCTTCTTGTACATTTTCTCAGCCTGGAAGCAATATCTGAACCCCTATAACTCAATCTTTGATCCAACGAGCTCTTCTCTTTTGATTCACAGAGCTTGATTACTTTCCCATTACCAGGTAAACTGTCATTGAGCTGTTGAAGCATAGATCTTTTATCTTGTTGTAGATACCAGTAATGTAGCAGCTTCACAGGTATTTCCAAGCAGCAAATAGCATCACCAGCCTCCTTTCTTGCATGTTTATTTGCTTCATTGCTTAGCACCTTCACCAACATTGCCATTCATTGCAAAAACGCAGCTGTATCAATATTTGCGTGGGCGTCTGCAATGCGCCTTAATTTTTTATGATTTTTAAAATGAATTTTGTACCATTATTATTTTTCTAAATTATCTAATAAACAGTATATTCTTATTA